CTGATAAACATATAGGATGCCTCTCTGGAGACATGCATCTTTTAGGAACAGATACTCAGCTGTACGCACAGCTCCATTAAAGGCAATGGATCCTCCCAAATGAGCATTTTTAGCAGTCTGTAATAATGTGATAGTAATACAAACTGCAGAGCTGGCTCCCAGACCTCCATACACAGGAAATACCATCACAACATCATGGCAGCCATAAAATATATCAGAATACCTCCAGTAATGGCAATTTAAAAAGTTAGTGTGCAGATTGTTCCGCGTGGTAAACCTCCAGCGTAGCTGGTTAGCAGCTGTATATGTTCTAGAGAGAGAAACACTTCGTAAGGCTTTTCCAACAAGCCACAAATTGTGAGGACTGTTTTAAATACTTCTGTCATGCAGCAGTAATGTATGTGCAGCATTCAGCAGCACGTGCTGTCCTAGCCTGCCCTAATTTTATTAACCCTATTTTGTGAGGGAGAAAATGTCATCCTCTTTTCAGAATATGGATCATCTTAATGTTTATATCAAAATTATTTCAGTATTTTCCATTGTGATTTTAGATACACACGATCTTCAGTGTTTTCTGGAACCTGGGAGTCAAAGCTGTAATAAAATAAAAAACCACAAGTCACATGCATTCCTAGGAGACAAAACTTGGGAGAAAAAGGTGTAGACCTGTATGTATCAGCTTCAGGTGCATACGCTGCTTAGAAAGGTATGCTGCCCTCCTAGGGAGCGGCCACACACAGCAGCAAAACCCTCATTAGGAAGGTGTGCATTTTCCAAGAAAGCCAGAGGATGGAAGGCTTCCAAAAGCCAGTGCCTTCCAGCCAAGGGACTGGAGCCAAGCTGGATGCTGTGCAGTTTGGCCATGGACAAGTCGTTATCAGCAGCATCTCTGTGCCTGACCAGAACACCTCAGCTGGTTCTTTGGGGTGCTTTTGTTTAATCAGCACTATTGCACTTTTAGCTGCAGACAGCTCAGACACTTCATGCAATAGGACACGCCACGTGCGCTCCTGGCACACCGAGATCCAGGGGCTGACAGCTGACCCCACGGCATCTCACTCCAGCAGTCTGCCATACATCACGAGGCTGGGACAGCCCCGAGGGTTCTGTGGGGTCTCCCAGGGGGAACAGCATCATCTCCAACACTCCATGCAGGAGGAGGGCACTTTTGGGTACCGTGCCATCAGCATGCTCAGTGCTGCTTCAGGGACATCACTGCTTCCCTGGAAGCCCCAGCACTCCCATCTGCCTGCACCCTGACAGCAGCAGCGGGGGATAACCCTAGGGCAGCTTCACTCTGCAGCCTTCACACAAATTGAAATGTTGCTTCCAGAACCCCAAATGTAATTGGGGGTACGGCAAGGGCAAGCCAAGCTGCAACAACAGAGGGCTCAATAAAAGTGTCAGACTGCAACAAAAGCACTGCCAGGAGCCTCGCAGCTCAGCGAGAGAGGCGAGCAACTCCCATGAGCAACAAGTACCCTTTTGCTTTTAAAGCTCTTTGGGCAAGCTTTCATCCCAACAACATACCTTCTCAGTACAAAACCTGCCATATTCTGTGCTTCCTAACACCACCACTTCCTTGCAACCTGCTTCCTCAGGGCGAGGAAAACTTTGCCAGGAAGCACATTGGTTGAAGCCAGGCTAGCAGTTAGATGTGAGAACAGCAGCAGCTACAAGCCAGGCTTATCAGTGTAACAAAGGTCCTTTATTTCTAAGATTTGTTCTTGTTCTGAGTCTTATTTGTTAACTGAACACTCAGTTGACACAGTTCAACCAAAATGAAAGCCCAGGTGTATTCACCAGCACCACACACACCTGTCCTTACAGTGAGTACACAGGGACTGCTTTTTCGGTGTAGAGAGCAGACATCCCCATAATGAAATCCTTCACTCCCAAAAAATCAGACCTGTGTCACAGAACGAGACCTTAATTGATGGTCACAATGGCAAAAAAAAAAAGTCTTTTTAGGTTCAGAAGCCACAAAACAACTTGTGTTTCATGTAAATAGACACAAAGTGCTTTATCAGGTGAAAGGTAATCGCTGGCAAAAGCACTCAGTGCCGCACGGCGTCTCCTCTTATCTCCTCTCCCCAAACACAGGTCTGCTGGTCACTGGTGGAAGCGCTGCCCACAGAACAAAGCTGATCTGTTATGTTGCACAGAACTCCGTGAGGTCGTGCATTTGCACTGTCAGCAGTTCCTTAGAACACAATCTCCTCCATGTCAGCGCTAATAACGGAACTGAGAGAGATCATTGGCTGAGGGAATTATTTTTTCCCTATAAGGATGGAAAGAATTGGGAAGAGTGCGCTTTCTCTTGAATATATTTGGCTCTGTGGAAGACACACGTGATGCAAATGTTACTATGGAAACTATTCTATTAAATAATATTAAATTAAATTTACATATTTAAAGTGCACACAAACGGTCCAGGTAGAAACCTAATTAGCCTACACTGGACTTGAAATTACAAAGTAGAGCCTCTCAGAATTGTCAGTTTTCCTTCAAAAGCAGCTCGGTTTTGAGCAAGCTGCTCCTCTGCACCCCTTTCTTCACAAATGTAGCATTTGCACCCCTGTTATTCCAAAAAGTCATTTTTTGAAGTAATTTGTAGACACAAGCGCTGCTCTAGTTCCCTTGGTGATGAAATTACCATAGCATTACAGAGGAAAAACCCAGGAGCTGAGTTCCATTTGAAAGAACAACGCACTGATTGCAGCTGTGCCACCATAGCGGTGAGCATATTTTAGTAGCTCCCTTCACACCTCACCACACACAGCATCCAAGCCCTTCCCAACCAGCAGGAGCTGCGCGCAGGGCTGGAGCAGCCTTGTCCTTCCTGATGCTGTCAGGGCACAGCAAAGTTGCAAAGTTTCCCACTCCGTGGATTAAGGTTTAGACTATTTTTCACTTCCCATCTCCAGCTCCTGAGTGTTGGAGAGCCCTTCCCAACGCAGCTACCCAAAAAACCAAGCTGTCCCACAGCTCCTCTCAAGGAGCCAACTTCCCATTTGCCATTGAGTAATATTGAACTCAAGCTCTGTCTAATATCAAGCTGCAGCTCAGGCCTCTTCTGCACCGGCTGGGCACATCCACAGCTGATTGAGGAGGAAAAGGCAGCAGGTGAGGAGAGCTACTGGGGCTGTGCTGTGAAGTGGGTGCTGGCAGCTGCAGTGTTGCTTCGGGCAAACATGCTTGTCCTGTATCTGAAGATCTCAGGTTAATCGTAATTAACCCAAGTACCCACTTTCACTTGGATTTCATAAATCAGGACACTGGGCTCTTAAGCAGCTTATAGGGAACACAAGTTACAGGAGGAAGCCTGCAATTGTATTTCAAACGTCTGAGCAATATTTTAAACTGAAAACTTTAAGGAGAAAAAGCTCTACTGTTAACAAAACTGCTTACTCCCAGGTAAGAGGGGCACCAGGACATGAACAGGGCACCTCATGCCCACAGCTCCAGCCTCTGTCACCAGGTAGCAGCTACTGGCTTCCTCCCTTTGGCCAGTCAATGGGACAGCATTCCCAGAGCAAAGGGAAGCCTGGAATGACCAGTTCTGGGCTCTTCACTTTAACAACTCTCTAAGGCACAGTCACTCTGGGACATCTTCACTAAAGCACTTTCTCCATTAATAGGGCTTCCATTCATCTCAGAGCAGATGCACTTTGTTCACACTCCTGCTAGGTTTCACTGCCACAGAATGGAAAGATGTGTCAAAGTTTAATCTTACTTTTTATTCACGCAGGAACAAACTGAATACCAATACATACTCAGTGCTGGAAGGATGGCCATGGTACACTGGTCCTGCCAGACTTACTACAGACTCTCTCCAAATGACGTTATCTCCATCTGTCACTGAATCAGATGGTTCTTAAAGAGTGAACAATGCCCAGAAGTGCAGGTACAAGACAAACAGCATCTTCCCTTTGGTGCAGGAACATATTACAAACCCAAACAAGTCAGGGAGATGAACACTATAGGTTCTATTGAACATGGGCATGCAAAGAGAATGAAGCTTACTTGTCATCAGCAAACACTTCCCGATGACCAAACACACCTCACAATAAATTTGGATGTAAAACTCACGCTACAAACAATTCAGAACTGCCCAATTAATAACCCATCAGCTGTCAGTAAACACAAGAAATAAGTTGCCTTCCTGTCCTGAGGTGCAGATTCGTTTTTGAAGGCACTCGACAGGCACAAAGCCTCCCTCCGGGCTGAGATCCCGCACCGCAAGAAGGAGCAGGAGGTGCAGCGGCTCTGGAGGGTCAGAGCGGATGCCCGAGGGGCACCTGCTGCTACTGCCGAAACCAGGAGCTTGTCGTAAAAGCACAAGAACAGACTTAAGTTTAAAATGAAATAAGGAACTAAAGGAGGAATGGGGATCTGGGGATTTTTTATTTTGTCAAACTCTCACGCGATAGTCTTTAAAGCCCTAAAAGGTACCGACAAGATCGACACCTGTCCCACACGGAGCTCAAAACCTCGATGCGTTACAACCCCATCCCAGGAACACCGAGGCAGCTACAAACCGCACCGCAAGGCACAGCCCCGGCCCTCCCTGCCCCGTTCCCGAGGGCACCTGCAGCCCCGCTCCTCCGGCCATCCTCCTCCACCTCCTCCTCCTCCTCCTTCTCCCCGGCTCTCAGCGCTCCACCACCGGCGGCCCCGGCCCAAAGTTGGCGGCGGGCGGATGCCCGGCTCCGGGTAGCGGCACCTCGGCATCAGCACACCCACCGGGAGAGGAACAGTAAAAATACACATATATGCATACAGATACGTATACGAGCACGCATGAGACGCGCAGATTCATGCATTTAAGATGCTTTGATTCATCTCCCCCTAGATTTTCACCTCGCCTGCGGAGACACTCAGAGAGCACAGTTTGCAAAAAACAAGACAAAGACAATTACAAGAAAAGGAAAAAAAAAAAAAAAAAGAAGAAAACAAATCCCCAAGGCAGGTGCCGCCGGGAGGGGACCAACACTCACCCCCAGCCGCCTGCTCCGGATGCGCACATAGCCCTGCTTCACGATGTCGTTGAAATTGGAGGCCATCCTTCTCCGGGAAAGTTAGAGGCAGCCGGCGGGGTCGGGGCGGCTCAGGCAGCCCTACCGGCACAGCTGCAGCCTCCGGGAGAACCGCGCCCGCTCCGCTCCGCCCCACCGAGCGCCCCGGCCCCGCGACGGGCAGGGCTGTGGGCAGGGCTGCGCTAATGCCCGCCCCGCGTCCTCCATCGCTCCTCTTCTGAGCCCAGCTGTCCAATTCGTTTCTAAGGAGCAGAATACTGAGGGTTGTCCATTTCTGGGGAGTTGCGTTGAACTGCCCGCTTGGTGCGCGCCGCTCCGCCGTGCCCCTGTTAGCCCGGCTGCAGGAAGGTGGGCTGGCAGCGGTCAGCCCTGCCCTTCTGTGCCGAGGAAACCGCTCCCACCTGCGGTTTTTCTCAGGAAAGTGAGTTTCCCAGAAAGTCTTTCAGATGCCTGAAAGCCTGCCAAGTGGCTCAGCCCCAGCATCTCCTGACGGCCGGTAACCGGAGCTGCGCCCTGCGCTCAGGACGGGGTCCCATGGCACACTTCCCGTCTTGGAAATGTCACACGAGCACGCGCTGCATTTTCCAGCACTGTGTGCTGCTTGCAGTAAGGGATGAGCGCCTGGCGCTGGGCCCGGGGGTTCCCTCCTGCAGCCTCACATCTCCTTTTCCAGGAACGTGCAAACACTGTCAAGCACTGGGGCTCCAAGGACCCTGCTTGCTCTGTAGGTTACCTGTTAGTGGTACGCTATAAATACTGTGTCCTGGAAAGAGGAACCGTTCATCTCCTTATCACATCTTTTAATAGCATCCCAATTATAGGCAGTCTGAGGAGGAGGTCAGCCGCATGACTTTGACAATTATCATGCCCTGCAAATGACAAAGTGAGTAGAGAGAAGGCAGGCAGGGCAGAACAGAGCTCAGCAAGGAGGGCACCTTGCAGTTGAACCGAGCACCAGGCAAGGTGGGAATGATGCCTGTGTTGATTTGGTCATTCAGTTACTACGAAACTCACTTATAATAAGACTGGCCCTTTTCTAAATCCATAGCTCCTTCAGATTGGAAACAGTCACAACAGTGCTGGTTGCTCTGTTGTGGGAGCAGCTTGGTGCTTTCTGCTCTTGCTTGAGGTGACTGTGCTTTGCAAGGGTTTACAAAGATATTAATTGACAAGTGGTTATGGAGATAGAGCATAAGGCTTTCTAGCTGAAGGGCTAATTCACTTAGGATGAATGAGACAACTCTGCAGTCTTGTTTCAGATTCTACATTACCATTTTACATTTCCCTCTCCTTTTCACTAATTCAAAGAACACATAAAATAACACAGTTAGAAGCAACAAAAGCAGCAACACTCATGAACCAAAATACCCCAGAAATCAGATTATTCTAAGACGAGTCCTTGCACTCAAGAAAAAATGTCCTCAGAAATTGCATATTACAAAGCATATGCACCTCAGTTCAGACCTGCCAAACAGTGTAATCTTCTAAAACATGTTGTATCCAAGAACATGGATAACATCAGTCCCCTGACAGGTTGGATGTCAGTCCTGGCTGAAAGCTCGAGGAGTTGAGATTCCCACCCTGCTGCTCCTTGCAGAGCAGTGTGCATTCAGTGTGTAAACGTATTTCACAATCTCAAGCACCACGAAAACAGCAGTGCTGGAAGAATCAAGTGTAGTCTGAAATGAGAGAGCATTTACTTTGATTTCACAGATATTTGTGACAGGAAACAAATTACAGAACCATTTTAGGTGTCTTTTCAGCAATTTTGGGCTTTGCTTCTAATCCCCCCCAGTGCCCATAGACACATCCCACCGAGTTGGTCAGCAGCAGTGCGCTCCTGCAGGTACACACATCCCTAAGAGCTCTGCTAATTAAAGGCAGACTTAATCCTGTGCTCATTCTTTGATGAATTAGGATATTAGTGTCCATTTATGATTCGCCTTTGAACAACCCAAATCCCTCACGCGTGCTATAGTTCAAAGAGAAAATGCATTTTAATTTCCATGCGTGCAACGCGCTTCAAGAACGTGCCAGAAAATCTCATTGCTAGGGTTTTCAGCCCTCTGCCATCACTGTGAAACAAAACTGCTGACCAGGTTTTCAATACTGATACAAAGGAGTTCTCTTGCTGTTTTGACAGCAGTGCTTCCCATTCCCTGGGGCCTATGGGCCATCAGCACTCCCTGTAAGGAAATGCTGCCCCATTATCTTTATCCCAAACTGTACAAAACGTTTTCAATAAGCTTTCCTTGATATGTAAATTCTTCTCCTTTTAATGGCAATGTTATTTACTTACACTTCTTTTTTCAGGGGTCACTTTGAAGTACCAGACTGCTGCTAATAGCTTAAGTGAATTGTTATTGCTTTCTCATCTCACAGTGCCATGTCACCATACTGCCCTGCAATGAGCTGCCTCACTTTGGAGGCTCCAAAACTGGAAATGGCTGGTATGCATTTTCACTGAAAATGAAGGGATCCATTTTTTTTCCAAATGCCATACTGACATTTGCAAAAGAAGCCGTGTTCACCTCTCTGTATTTGAAGCATGTCATCCTCTGTGTTTGCAGTGTGGTTTCATCAGCCTAAAGGTGACGTGTGGCAAAGATGGCTGGGTTGTACTGCAGGTAGAGGAGCTGCAGAGCCCACTGGAAGGAAGCAGCATTTTCTGGTACTCGTGCACACAGATGGAGCTGCTACAAACCTGACTAAGAAAGGTCCTGATGTGATCACCCTGAAATTATTTTCTGGAAATGTACAACATGCATCAATAGTTTGTTGGTTTTTTTTTATTAAAAGGTCCCATAGCATTTGGTTTCCATAAGGTCAGGATGCCAACATTTTCCCACTATTCTTTTGATTTTTCAGAGTATTTTAGAAATGATAACATCACAGTGAAGTGCTCTGACCTTATCAAGTGCTCGGAGGTTAGCAGAATGCAATATCTCACATGCAGTACCTCCCTGAAGAGCCTTTGACATTCCTTTTCCTATTTCTGCTTTGGTGTGAGACAAATTTTTGACATTTCATTTTTATTTTTGTGGAAATTGTGAATTTGGACTAATTCTACCTGCAAGGAAATGCAGCTGATAATGAGCAAAAATAAAAAGGGATCATTGCTTATAAAAAAAGTGCTGCCTTGGTTTTGTTCGCTTTACTAATCTGTTGCAAACCCTGAAATCCTATTTGTGCAAAGCAAAATCTGTAGGGTTGCCTTGGATGATTAAGCAAACCTTGGCCTGTTTAATTCTGAAAAATGGAAATGAGTTTACTTGGAATTTACCCTACTTTGCAGTGCAGGGATTGGTTTTGTCACCTCTCTGTGGCTCGTCCCCTTGCTGAGATTCATGAGACTGAGCATCCCACCCCCATTACATAACATGGGCACAGAGTTACTCACACCATAAATGCCCGTCAGTGTGAGCAGCCAATAATCAATATTTAATGACAATAAATAAGCCATTAAGCAGGCCAGTGTGTAATTTTGCATAGCAGCAGTGCAGTATCTGGCAGTACCTTACCTCTGTGCTACTCACTCCAGTGATTTTGCTTCGTGCAGAGCGAGGCAGGGAGAGGCAGAAAAGGGAGAGGGAGGAGGGAACAGCAAATGAAATGCATCTGTTTATTGAAACCCTGGTTCTGACTGTAATATTTTGTCCCTAACAAAATTACTGTCAACGCAATGCATGTTAAGATAGAAATAAATATATAGTGAGTGAATCTGCAGGCCAAGTGAATGCAGGGCAACGTTAGATACTGAACAACCAACATTCATTTTGCTTGCTTTGTGTTTCAGTGACTGATACGTTTAAGCAAGTTTTTCATTCTCATTTTCCTGCAGACATACATCGAGGGCCTTCCTGCCTCTGCAGAACATGGCTGTGGGGATTAAGCAGGACGGAGTGGCAGGTCATGAGGTCACCATCCATCCTTCCTGTTCCTATACGTAATTTATCAGAGCCTGCAGTGTATCAAAGCACAGCTCTGGGATTGACAGCTCGCTCTGATCTTTGGCTGTGGAGGAGCTGGAGTGATGGAGCCTGTGTAATTGCAGCCTTCCTGGCTGCATGTTTGATATTTCCTGTACCAGGCAGCACAGGAATGCTGCTTCCAGCATAGGTCCCAAAAAACACAACTGGGCATAGCAGTGCAATGGGAAGGACTTATTCACATCTATAAGCTTGGACTTGGGCTGCTCGGATCTCTTAGGTCCATTTCTTGGTCATTTCTGCAGTCAAGGGGTGAAATGCTGCTCTAAAAGCCCTGAATGGCCCAACTGGCACTGATAATCAACTGACACCCCTGGGACAAGGCAACCTCTTCCAAGACAGTGAAAGGCTTCCTCAAGACTCAAATTGCTGCCAGAAAGCAATCCCCCACGTTTCAGATTAAACCCAGATATTAAGACTTGTACTTCAAAATTCAGATGGAAGCTTCTTTACATCATATCACATTTTTAAACGTTTCTGAATTTGACTTCAGTGCACATATTTGTGGATATTCCAATAGTGATTGATTCCAGTGAAATTTATTTCCCATTGTTTTGCCCTAAATACTAATTACTGAGCTAATGTCAAGATAATTTGATGTCTATGTTAACAACATGTCTACAAGGCAAACTCTTATCTTGTCTCAGTGCGTATTTATTGCTGCACATCTACTGAAAATTTATGCCTGAAAGTTTTTTTGATCTTTTTGTTGCTGTTAAATGAAGTAGAAATAACTATATTTTCTAATTATAGTATTTGCAGATGGCATTTGGAAAAAATATCAAATAGAGTCAGTTTGCAATGCAGAGTTTGATATTTTGTGTGCTGCCTCCTATAATCAGTAGATTTGGGGCTGGATTGTAATGTTTCTTCGTGTAGTTATGCAGTGAAATTTGTGTGAGCATTTCCCAGAACTGGGCACCTGAATAAAATGAATGTACACAAAAGGAAGTATCATTCAGCACTGCAGCATGACTTGCAGGTAGGAGAAGCCAGGGCTCTCGCTGAGCCATGCATGTTGGAGCTATTGAAAGGGGAAGATATGGAGGATGGATTC